TTATTATTGAAATATCAGTTGCTTGTAGGGTTCAGGGGATCTCGTAGTCGAGCAGTGTCGACTAGAGCTTTCTTACTTGTTTTCAAATAATTTTTCCGAGATATAAAGTTTATAATGCTAATAATTGTAACTAGTACGAGGTTTGCATAATAATGTATGGAATATGGTATTATATATTTTATTCTATTTATTTGTAATAATAAAAAAGTAAATATAGTATATTCTTTATTGTTACATTTACTATTTAATTAATTTATTAGTCCTTATTATATTTGGCTTAATCAGTATTTGTAAATGTCTAGTTCATTCAGCTTTGGTAGCACCCTTAAGTCGCCTCATTTAGCACTAACATAATAGTTAGCTATCTATTCATTTTACGTGCTTGTAAGCTCAAACGAAAATGACTTGGTTTATAGCCTATCACATAATACTCTGATCCACGCCGCACCACGAGGTGCATTTTGTGGCCCCAGAGCTACAAAAACTTCTCCTGCTGCTCCTCTTCCCCCTTCGGCAGCTGGCTTCTTCGTCTTCTCTCTTGGCCCGCCAAGCAGTGCACATTTTTCATGATTTCGGCTCCTCGGGGCATTTGTTGCGCAATTTGTGCAGGCACTTGGTACCACCTAAAGTAGGTCAGGCCGAGGGGGTATACACGTATATACATATACAGTTACATATACATATTTGAGTATAAGATTTTTGTGTGTGAAGTGGTGACAGTAATTTACAAGGATCTCTCTGTGCTTGTCTTGCAGGCCAGCTGCTGTGCAGTCGCCACCCACTTGTGAGTCGCTGATAATGCGGGTAAGTTGACACAATTAAACGCACTCTTAGAGCTCTTTTCCCCAGATATGGCAGTGGCATTCATTAAGAGTGTACCTACCTCATTAACACTTCACCCACAGACGACGAACAGGTGACATACCGAAGAGCCAGCGAGTAAAAGTGTTGCGGGATACCCTGTAAGAGGGTTTTCCTTTTTCCTTCTCAGAACTGTTAGATGAACTCTTTACTATTATAATTAGTTATGTTGTTTACTATTCATTACAATACAGAAACGGAAGAGTATATTAGTAAATGATATCTCAATTGCTGAGCTCTATGAGATCTATTCAAATAGGACAATTTCTGTCGTATCAGAAGACGAAATGTGTTAAAGAGAACCAAATGTTATTTAAACTATTTTTAATAAATTTTAAATTAATCAGTATGGGAATTCCATACTCAGGAGAATTTATATAGCATCGTGCTGCAGTAATTTTAGACAGCTATAAAGATATAATAATACCTGAAAAAAGTAATGTACAATCATATAAATTCCAACCTCATAACCTAATTCCAACCTTTAGCACCTTTGGTAATACAGGGTATAAACGTGGCAAGAGCTTACATTAAATTTGTGCTCTTAATGACTTGAAGGTGTTTAAGAGTCTGCGAGCGTGTGAGTGTGTCTACAGCTCTTTCGGTGTATAAGAGACGGTCATAAAGCGGAAGATATCAAACTACCCACATGGGATGCTGTGGGAGTTGCCAGCAATGAAGGTCAGCTAGTCGGCAGGAAGGACTATGCTATGAAAAGCTAATAAATATGCTGCTGCACTTAATGGCCGAGCATAGCAGTAAAAGTTTTCCATTTAGTTCGAAGAGAAGTCCCAAAAGTTAGTCCACCTTAAAGGTCAAAAGTGCAAGTACATCTAAATCAGGTGAAATCAAAGCGCACTTAGTAGTAGTTGCAAGACGTCGTAGTTCCCTTGCCTCATGTGTGATTTCCCTTTGCACACACTCAAAGTCAAATCCATTTACGCTTCGCTTTGTCAAGGTCAATGTCTTTCTAGATGTCTGTATGACTCAGCGTCTCTAAGATAGCTCTCTTGTCGTTCTCTCTCTCTCTCTCTCTCTCTCTCTCTCTCTGTCTCTCTCTTTCCCTCTGCACAATAGAGAAATCACTCAAGCATCCATTATTATTATTTTTTTCTTTCAATCAAGACACGTTATGGCCTCTTTTGAACTTTCAGTACGTGTCGTTGCGGCCAAGTTGAGCGTTTTATGTAAGTCGAGCCGAATAATCAGCTCTTTACAGAGCTTAGCTCAGTGCTTGCAGCGTAATGTAAAACGTATCACAAAGCTACTTAGTGGTATACATAATGCTGGCTTACTAGCCGGATGAATATTGGCAAACCATCTCACCTTTGTTAGTTTAAAGTAATTCCAAAGCAAATATATTGCACCTTAAATAGATAACTATAAACTATATTTAAACGCAAGTTTTTAAATAAATATAGAAAAATAAAAATAAAATATATTCAAGAAAAATATATTCATAATTATTTCATTAAATTATGAATTTATATAAATAAAATTTTAACCTTTTTGAATTATTATCAAATTCGGTAATCAAAAATATTTGTCGTTTTGTATTGAAATTTTTTATTTTTTATTTCAAACTGTTTTTATTTATTATTATTATTGCGATTTTTATTTATTTATTTTTTTTTTTTCAATTATAATTTTCTTAGTTTGTAATTAATTTTTATTGAATAAATTTTTATAAAATAAATAACAAATATCAAAATATCAAAATAAAATAAAATAAAAAAATAAGTAAACATAACTTTGAGTTTTAAGAAACTTTTGCAAACCATTCGTGTTCCTTTTGCGCTTTTTCTCAAGCAAAGCTTAGTTTCCGCTCATATATTTTTTCTCTTGCCAATTTAGGCTTTTGCTCTGTGCAGTTTTTGTTTACTATATCAACAGCAACAACTCTGAAAAGTTCTTATCTTTTTTGCTTCCGTGCTTATCTTTATGAGCACTCAGCCGACACTCGTTCGGCTTCGACCTCCAGACTGACATATGCGAGCATCTGCCCCGGCAAAGAATGCCCGCTGTGTGTTGTGTTTTATACATCATTAGCACTCAAATACTTCTTCTTTCTTTTTTCGAGTGCCTAAATGAAAGGGGCCAAAAGGGGGCAGCCCGAAAACAACAAATTTCATCGAGCATTAAGCGAGAAGCCAAGCGAATGCAAATCATTCGAACATGTGTGCAGCAGCTGCAGCCAGCGAATGGGTGGCCAAGGAAAGTGGGTATACAATGCCCGAGCTCCTCAATAAAACAGTTGTCGCATGGGTGAATCGAGGAGTTGTTGAATGAGATTAGACAGTGAACCTAAAATATAGAGCACACTAAAAAATAATAATTATCTTTTATATCTTACTTTAGAATTCAAATTATGTTTTGAAATTTATATCTTTGCTTTCTTCTATAAAAGATGTTTATTAAAAATTTAATACTCTATCAATAAAACTTACTCAGATCAACTGTTCGGTGGCCCCTCGCTCATCCACATGACCAACATGATTCGGGCTATGAATTCATTTATCACTTTGTCGTTGCTTTTATCGAACCGCCGGATCTCTGACAACAAGCAGAGACTTTTGTATAGCGATAGAGAAAGACAGACAGCGAGAGAGACAGCGGGATGCATGTCGATTTCAGCATGCGAGGAGGGGGAGGCAGTTAAAGAAGCATCAGATAATTCAATCAGTCCATTTGGCACACTCAACAAATGAATATGTCTCTCTCAGTTAACAGATATTGTGTGAGAACTTGACCGTGACACGGCGCCCACGATCAGGCCAAAATGACATAGGTTAAAGCTGAAAACAAAGCAAGGCAATGAAGTGCCAGGTGGAATGCATATACTCATCACTCAGGTATTATATAATATCTGCATAATCATTGCACAAATTGAACAATTGCATTTCTGTTGAAATTGACAAGTCAGAGTTCAATGAGAACATGTGAACATTGTTGACAACAACACAGGGCTAGATAGATTGTTGAATAGTATAGTAAGAGAGTCTATTAGCAGTTGTAGTGATCATCAATCAGCAACACACAGCTTACACAGATTACATAAGGGCGTAGTTGATAATACTAAAAATTTCAATAGTAAAAATTGTATAATTATTTATATTTTGGATTGATTTCTTAAATTAAATTAAAAATTTAAATTAATTCTCATTGAGTCTCCCTTAGGTCTTTTCTATATCATCAGCTTTTTCCCTAATTACAATTTTCTACATTTTTCTTTATAATAAACTTTTTTATTTGAAATTTTTGCGATGCAGATATTTATTTATAGAAGTTATATATTTTTTTTTCATGTAATCATGCAATCAGGTTTTTTATTTTTTCTTTTCTGTACAAGTTTTTATATACAATCTGTAAATACCCTCTTCTGTAGCTGATATTGTTTTATATATAGAAGTCTTTATTTACCTATTCTGCACATTCAGTTTTGTTTTATCATCTGATCTTATCTTCAGCATGTTTTTCCCCTCTATAAATATCCCTTATCTCATTTCTATTTTATTCATGTCCGTTTACTTTCTTTCTTCCGACTCAGTTTGTATCTATGTCTCAAGTTTATTTCACAATATGGTTGACGTTGCAATTAAACCCGGATCTTTTTCTCAGTTTTCATTTTAGTGGGCGTATTGCAATATATTAGCAAGCTATACATAGTTTTGAAATGCGCACCCAAATCTCACTTGATTCGCACGATTTGCTTCGACAATTTTTGTTTACAGTTCGGCTGTCATCAGCCGGCATGCGTTGATGCTTTGTTGACCGAGATGCAGATATATTTGTATGTATATATACGTATATATATTATGTGTACAATAAATATTTGTGCACTCAGTGGTATGTTTAGCAATGAGTGCGCTCACTCTTCTCTTTCTCACATCTGTTTTGCTGTTTTTTTTTGCTGCTGCGTCATTGTTAATAATAATAAACGGGTGATGATGGTGATGATGATGCGGCAAGGTAAAGGTCAACAAAGTAAATTTGTGAGCACTCGTTAATTGACTTCTGCACCAAAAGGTCTTAAGACACTGATTGGAATTGATTAGTGAAGACAGACTATCAATTTTTTAGTGCAAATGCACTTAATATATCATTTCAATTGTCAACTAAGTGCAAATTAAATCTGTTTCCATATCAGGGTATTCTGTGTGTAGTTCTCATTAAAAAACCATCAGTACATGCTGCGTGTAGAACTCTCTAATTTATCAACTGGACTTTTACTACACACGCACAGACTTTTTTTTTTGCAATCAGCAAGGGATAAGCCAAGGAACACAATAAAACAACATTGTGCACCGCCTTGAGGCAGTTCGTGTTTACCAGGCGCACCCACAAATGAGTGTGCAAGAACTCAAAGGAAACAGAGGGATGATCGACTAGAGTAAGCCTAGAAAAAGGACTCAAATGATGTAAGAGAGTCTAGCACATACAGAAATATCCATGTATTAAACGGGGAAGGAAATCTGTTTATTTGTTAATCAATCGTACTGCATATGCTCAACTATTGCTTTACAACTCTCCAGGGTATTTTCAGCATAAAGTTGCGGTCAATCAAGTTACTCAGTCATATGCTCACTTTTCTCGGAAGGTTTCCTTTTCCGTTGACCACACTAGGCATTGCTCCCTAAGCCTTTTCACTTTACGGTCTTTCTAATTCCGTAAAGGTTTATTTTGGGTGCGGTCCCATGTGCGTGGTCAACCAGCCCACACAACAAACTCTGCACAAGAGATTTTCGGGGTGATATTGCAGATATATGTATATATTTTACGACGGGGTGTGTGCACTCGAGGCTCAATCTCTTCTTTTCGTTATTTTGTTGCCTGTGGCAATAACTGGGTTAATGGGTTTCGGTTATGATTGGTCTGGCAATGTTTATCCAACTGATTGGGCTATATTCAGCTAATGGATATAATGGACGTAATTGGCTTGCAACAGATTTGTTTGTTGCCCATCGCAAATGTTGTCAGGTTAAAGCGAGGATTTCAAGTGGATTGAAGAGAGAAAAATCTGAGAGCCTGAAAGTCCCGTTTAATTGAATAATTCGAATTGAATAATATGAGTATACCATATTGAGTATTTCAGACTTTAAATAGTAGATCTAAAAGGTTATAGTATTTAATAGAAGCATAGTACAAACATAAGTAAGAATATTCGTATATGCATGGGATATTTAATTCTAAAATATATTGATAATTGGCCAAAAATAAAAAATTAAAAAAATTAATAAACATCATAGGTATTATGGTTTTTAACAAAAATTGTATTTTTTTATCTAAAAGTTCTTCAAAAAATATGTAACATTGTTTCTTCTCCTTATGAAGTTTTTATCAACAGATATTTTTTGCAAAAAAAAAGGAAATATTGCAATTTTAAACTCAAACTTGTTCACTAAAGTCGACAAACTTTAATAACAATCTTAACTTTATCCTCAGATGAGTAAAGCTCATCTATTCACATATTGTCCTGAACTAATTCCAATTGAAAATACAATTCAATTTCTTCGCCAATTTGCAACTTTTGCATGCACTTAAATAAAATCCAACATGCACTGCAAGAAAAACCCCATGTTTTCTGTACAAATCTCTATCTTTATTTATAATCTACAGCAATCAGCTGTTCTTTTTACATGCCTTTTTATTGTTCTCTGCTCAAATCAACTTTGCTTTAATTGTTTGTTGAGATTAGTTGCCAAAGCAAAAAGGCACGCAGCTCGATGAGAAAAAGAGACAACAGCAGCGTCAACAGCATTATTGTCTTGGTTCTTAGAATTGATCAGAGAGTGGTGCTATATATAAAATTAGTCTGCAGCCGAAGAAATGTCGCAAATGGCAAACTCACAAAAGATATCAACGTAGGCGGCTAGCCGATGATGTTGGCGCATGTTTGTCTTCGTCCTCTGTTTGTTATTATAATTATTTTGTTATTTATCAGTCTTCGACTAACACTCATCGCGATCGGTTGTCTGTTCTGATAAGCTCGTC